AAAAACTTCTGAGATGAAATCTAATAATTCATTACAAAAGACAAAAGGAACAACAAATCCATGAACGTTTTTCACAATGGACTTGGAGTGTGATACTAAGGAAGAAACATGCATGTTTTAGAAGATTACCAAGAAAGTATATATATATATTGTTCAATAATAGTCTTCTCAAAGATTACTCTTTTTTGTCTCCATTTCCTTTCTTCCATTCCCATACGACTTTATAAGGCTGCATCGATCCTTCTGCGACCTTTTCAACCGCAGAGAAAGATTGCCGTCTAAAAACAGCGATCTGAGTAGCAAACCCGGGATCCACTTTACTAAAACCTCCAACACCGCTAAACTCGACGCTGTAGTTATGTCGTTTGGCGAGCTTAGATGCCCACTGGTTAAACTGCGCCCTTGTCCATTCGAACTTGTGGTCATGGTTCCTGAATTTTGACCTATGTGACATGGAATTGTCTTTTGGTTGGTTTGGAAGAGACTTATGGAGAATTCTGTTGTACTCATAGTTTGGCGTGGAAACAATCACATGTTTCGGACGAAACAAGCTTAGAACTGTTTCCCCGAACTGAAAGGCTTGATCTTCCTCCATGTGTTCAATGACCTACAGATTCAGAACGGATTATATGAAAAGTAAAACCAGACGACGAAAGGACAGATTTCTTGTTGAATTATATACACAAAATTTTTGAAATGCTCATGATGAAGAAATGAAACAAGAAAATAGAAGAGAACCTCTAAGCAAGTGCCGATGTCAATGTCATGCAGCCTGGAATCAAACTCGAGGATGGAACCCTCATAGAGTATAACCGATTTGAGGTTGCAAGCTCCCTTTTCTAATTTTGAAGGTAGCATCTGAAATTGAAACAAAAGATGTGAATATATATTTATGTAAATCAACAATCTTCATTTCGACCATCTCTATCCGAGGATATAAAATACAACCACGTACTAGCCTAAAATGTTACACAACTCATGACTAGCGTGAATGCAGTTTTGATCAAACACATATCAAGTTTTGAGATGTTTCAGATTTCCCATACCTTAGCAGCAAGGGCAAGACGCTTCTGTGAGATGTCAACACCGATAATGGTTTGAAGTGAAGTTGGATAGTCAAGTAAAGAGTGTAGTAAACTTCCAGAGCCGCATCCAAAGTCAACCTGCAACAAGTATTGAGACTCGAATATTAAAAAACGAGTCATAAAAAGATCTTGAATCACAATAAGCAGAACGAGATTAAGAAAGAAAACGAAAAAAGAGAGCGTACCAAAGTAGAAGCTGATGATTCTTTTATATGTTTCAATGCATATTCAACACGCTGTTCTGAAAGTGGAGGTTTGAAAAAAGCTGCTTCCATTCGTTTTTCTGTCGGGCCTTTCACTCCCAACAAATGTACACGGTATTCCAAACCTGCTGCGAGTTCTGTGCATTAAAAATCAAAGCAACTCATCATCAGAACTACCCTAGCTTGGCTGGAATCTCTTATCTTATTCAATCGCTGTGTACAGCAATGAAAGCTTTTAAAAAAGCACACATAAGAAATTTTAAGGTTGATGCTTACCAAAATACTACTAAACTCAATAAACCCATAGAGTCATTGCAACAAAGAAATCCAATCCTAAATTCAATAAAACATTGGAAGCATTACCTGAAAACAATGAGAGAGTTCTTGCAGTATCAGTGGCAGCAGCCAAAATCAAGTCTTGAGTAGGCGAATCAGTTCCAAAACAAACATATTGGCCCACAGACATCTGAGTAACAACTAATTCAAGTTGTTGATTCATAGATCCATTCCCTACCTCAAACTCTATCTCTTCATGGCTTTCAAGCAGTTCTTCTAATGGTTCACCATTCCTCGAAATGTCAGCATCTACCTTCAACGACACAGAATAGCATAAGCTGACCAAGGAACCGTTTGCTATAGATCGAACATGCTTCCGTCCCCGTAGCTTCTTAGCGCTCCTTGAATTATACGAATCTCTATTTCGGATAGCCGTGGGCCGTTCATACATTCTACTACTTGGAAGAATCTCTTTCATCCAGATCTTTTGTTCAAATAGCCCTTCCAGGACTTCATCCTCATAACCTGGTTGCAGTGGCTCCGCATCCAGATTGTCGAAAAACCCACTAAACCATGATAGGGCGTTCAATGAAGCATTTTGAATCGCATAATTTTCCTTCTCATAGAACTTTCTCAACGAACATTCAAAAACCAAATCCTGTGACTTTGAGAGGATTTTCACTTCACATCTATACCCATGCTCTAATCCTGGTGTATCCTCTTTTTCCCTACTCAAATACCCATGGTCAGTATCCTCCGACTCTGTGTCTTTCAACTTCTGGTGGGATCTTAATATGTCGGACAGTGATTTCACAGAAGCAGTGGATATAGTAAAGATGGGTTCAGATAGTTGTTGCTGTTGGCAGAACATGCAGAGAATCTCCCTAGGAAATGGACCTCTCCAATTAGACTTTGTAGTGAATAATGAAGGCAAGTGCGCACCTATGAACGCTTTTCGGAAGATTTTATAGATTCCATTAGGAGACATAATGCAACATATCCTATAGAAGCAACAAAAAATAACATGATAAGATATGCAGTGGTTCAACAGAAGACCAAAAGATATACAAAGGAAAAAACAAAACATAAAGCGGAGCAAAAAGCTGGTAGGAGTAGAGACCTGTAAAATAACTTTAAGGTTACATCATCATGTTCAAGATCACGGGACCTCCATGGGTAATAAACAGATGCCATGATCGCATCACCGTGAATTTCTTGACCACAAACCAAACTTGCTTTTGCATTCCAAGACTTTTTAAAATGTGATGTTTCATCAATCGGACGTTTTCCATACGCTTTCGATGATTTATCGGAAGGATTCAACTTAGGAATGGCAGAGTATACTCTACACTCATAGCCAGAGGAAGTTTTGCCAGAAGCCCTGTTTTAAAAGAACAAAAATATTATAAATATCAGCTTAACACCAAGAAATCTCCATTTATTGATAGAAAAGACAATTTCACAACCTGGATATCATCACTTGACTGCCATCCTTCAACCCAAGCTTTTCAGCGATTATATCCATGTAATACCGACTTGATGAAATATCCAGAGTGATCGGATCAACAACCTGAACAAGCTCTTCACCGCCACTGGTGCATTGTATATATAAAGCCTCAACTTTTCTGCTTTCTCCATGAGTAGCCAGTGCTCCTACAATTTCTGGAGGGTATGGATTTTTCCTTCGGAGTGAAGCTACATGCGGAGATACGACAATGTAGTCCGATAACTTTGCAGCAGCCTTCACAACATAGGACATGGCCAAGATCGGATCCGAGTCCACCGAAGGATTAATCACTTTACAGCGACTGTTAATCTTTGCATCAAATGCAGCAATGACAGAAACAGGAACTGCTTCGCAACGTTCACCATCCCTTTGCAATGTTGCTCTAAGGTGAGCTCCCAGAGGATGATCAGCGGAAAGAAACTGCAATTGCAACAACTTAAAACATTAACGCCAATAAACCTTAGGTTGGTTAATCATATAAAGTCATACTTTTAGATTTTTAGTCCAGTGATAGCTTAAAAGTTGATGAACTCATATTTACAAACATATGGAGATCTGAAATTGCTTTTGAGCTACTAACCTCATCAGAAAATATATACTTAATGCGTTCAACGATATCATCCCAAGCTTCCTCCACAGTTATATCATCATCAACATCCCAAGGCTGAATGCCAAGCTGCAACATGAGTAGTATTGTCTTCTTTAACATAAAAAAGTTTTAAGAAATCTAATAAACAATTACAATATAAAACAAAGCATACCTTCTCAAGAGCCAATTCAGCAGCAGATTGTTCAGAATCATTCTTCTTCATGAAGACATTTGACACAACAGAAAATTCTGGTAGTTGCAAGTGGCATCGATAGAGGCATCGAGCACTCTTAGAAGAAACATGAACTTCCTCAATTCTGTAACTTGCTTTAACACCAAACTTCTGATGTATAATTTCCTTTGGAGTAAGAGTCTGCTTCTCTCCACCCGCCATTACAAACTCACTGTAACTCCTTTATACACTGAAGACAAACAAAAATATGGTACCTTTAGTACAAACAGTGCAAAATTAGAGTTTCTAAGAGTGATGTAAAAAGAAGATGACTTCAATTCCGGGATTAGTAAGGGGTTTCTAAGAAGAAGATGACTTAAGTTCTCAGCATCGTTGAGTCTTTGTTCAGCAGCAGCACAAATGGT